AAAGCCTGTCCCATGTAGCAATATGCAGAGCCTGATCCTGAACTGGGGGACAGAGAAGTGAGCGATGTGTGGATTTAGGGAGCTAGACCAGACTCCAGACTGGGCTCGTACCCAAAGGACACGGGATGGGTTCAAGGGCAAGAGTGTCTCTGCCAAGATTGCTTATTGGATAAAATCAGACCTCCAGTGGCAGAGAGGTGCCTCTGCCTTGAGCACACTCCTGTGAAAATTATGGAAATAAAACCTTTTTTTCTCACTCAAATACATATGCATGAGTCTGTAGGTATGGGTACACACACATACACGTTATAGACACACATACACACCATATATTGTGTATATGTATAATGTATATCATATATATTTCTAGAAAAAAGTCTGGAAGTAATACAGTAACCTATGAGTAAAGGAGTTAGGGAGGAAAAATAGAGAAAAAGAATGCATTTCCCTTTTTTATTTTTCATTTCTGTATCATCCGGGATTTTTTTTTACAGAAACTATGTGTGTTATAATGTTCAAATAAGAATTAAAAATATCTAATAGAAAAAAGTATATTTAAACATATATAAACATATGCATGTTTATATATACATATAAACATGGAAGTATTAATCACAAAGGTATAATGGGCCATAGTTGAAATGTATTATTTTTTTATTTTAAGATTTTATTTATACATTTGAAAGAGACGGAGAAAACACAAGCAGGGGGAGAGGCAGAAGGAGAGAGGAGGAAGCAAGCTCCCTGCTGAGCGGAGAGCCCTATGTGGGGGTCGACCCCAGGACCCCAGGATCGTGACCTGATCCTGAGCCGAAGGCAGATGCTTAACTGACTGAGCCACCAGGAGCCCCAGCAATCCCTTTAAAGAGGTAAACACTGCAAGGCATCTTCTCTACTATCTATTTGATATTCCCACATTCTTAGGAAAATCATAACAAGTTTAGAATTCTTTAACATGAAAGCCATAAAGTGACCAAAAGCAGAATAAGCAGGATAAATATGTGCTTAATAGTAGCTAATGTTTATTAGAAGTTTATGTTATGCTTGGAAACGAGGGTTGACCTTTGAGCATAATGGCGAGCAGGGGCGGGATGTGGGGTTAAGGGTGTGAACCTTCCCACTTGCCCTATGCAGTGAAAAATCTGTGCATAACTTTTTTTTTTAAACCTGACATTCCTTTTCAAAGATTTAATTAATTTATTTATTTGAGACAGTGAGAGAGGGAACACAAGCAGGGAGAGTGGGAGAGGGAGAAGCAGGCTTCCCGCTGAGCGGGAGACCAGCGTGGACGCTGGGGCTCCATCCCAGGACCCCGGCATCATGACCTGAGCCTAAGGCAGATGCTTAATGACTGAGCCACACAGGCGTCCCTGTGCATAACTTTTGACTCCCCCCAAAACTTAACTACAATAGACTACTGTTGACCAGAAACCTTACTGATACCATAATCGATTAGGACATCTTTTGTGTTTATATGTATTTTGTACTGTATCCTTCCAACAAAGTAAGCTAGAGAAAAGAAAATGTTATTAAGAAAATCATAAGGAAGAGAAAAAGACATTGACCGCGCTGTACCGTATTTATTGGAAAAAACACCCATGCATAAGTGGACCTGTGTGGTTCAAACCCCAGTTGTTCAAGGGTCCAGGGTATTAAGGTGCTCGATGAGGAGTAGCTCCTTTTGGTCTCTCAAGAACCCTATGAGGAAGTTCATGTTATCACCCTCATTTTACAGATGAGAAGACTGAGGAACAAACAGATTGATGATGTGCTCAAGGGCAGGTGGTCTGGCCTCCTAACCACTATGCACGCACTGATTTTTTTTTTCAATGAACATAAATTACTTATGACAATCTGTTTAGTCCTCGGCTTTCAAGCATCTGTGCCAATAATACACTTATTTCGGCTCCATTCTAAGGTGCTCCGGTCCGCAGCTCTCCCACCCAAAGTGGAGGCTGGGATGGCCAGCTTCGGAGCCTTGTGCCTCCCGGAGCGGGTCCCTCCACCCATCGAGCTTCAGCCTTCGGGTCTGTGGATGGGGAACCCACCTCGTGGGGTTGCTCTAGTATCAAACGAGACGGGCATCAGTGGCCTCGCAGGAAGCCAGCATGGACTGGCCCCAACAGGTGTGACTTTGTTCTATTTGTGCCGTGCCTCTATTTGCCCCCGATGCTCACACCGGCTGTGAATTCTGATACATGGCACAGGCGGCAGCTTCTCCACAAATCCACATCTTTGTTTAGGCGTCGAGAAACGCTCACCTGAAGTTATGGAATTAATCTCAGGGCAGCTGGAGCCGGGCTCCAATCTGCCCCTTTCCAGAAGCAACAAGAGAACATCTCCCCCCACCCCCAACCCCGGGCGTGCACGCCCAGACCCCCAGAGGCACAGGGAGCCTTCCACCCACCGTCCACCGCCCCGCCGTCCCCCCACCCCCTCTCTTCCAGCATTCCAAACTGCAGAGGCCGACCCTGTCTCTCTTGATGATTTAAGTTTTGGAGAAGGACCGGAGAAGGATTTGTTTTGACGTTTAAAGGCAATCCAGGTAATGAATGGCAGAGGCAGCGTCCATCTCCCCATCCATATATCTGCACAACAGTATCTATTTTTGAGTGGCTGACATGCCGTTTCCTTTGGCAGCGCAAGGGGGGCTCGTCTTTAAATTAAAGTCGTCTCCAGCCCCTCCGATCTGCAGCCCGTTCGGGGGCAGACACAGGCGAGGGGAGCAAGAGAGCTGGGTCAGGCCCGTTGGCAGCTCACGATATATGGTACAAAGGTCCGTGCACCGCGAGCTGCAGAGGAGCCCCTCTCTAAACCATTAAGTAATGACAGAGGATGCCCCCAAGTCTTCTAATCACCTTTAATACGCGCACTTAGACACACACTTTAAAGCAGGCGAGATAAGCAGGTCAGACAAACATACAAAGACAACAAAATAAAATCATAGCCTTCTCTCTAGGGGGCTGGTTTGGGAAGGGGAGGGGACAGTGCTTTCGATTAAGAATTAACTATAGCAAAGACATTCTCCACCCTCTGCCAGTGTCTTTGTCTCAATAACTAGCTGATCCCCTAAACCACTGCCCGGAGGTTCTAGAATTCTGTCTTAAGACCTAATTTGGTAGCATGGAGAGAAGACACCAGGGTACAAGGAATCAGCTCTGCCACTTCACAAGCTGGGAGCTACAGCTCTTTCTTTTACCAAAGCTCAACTTCTTCATCTGTAAAGAGTCCCTCATGGCTTTTGAAAGGTTATTGCCAGGATCCAAATGCAGAGAAAGGGACAGAGGGATAGGAAGACGGAGAGAGATGGACAGACAGAGCAGAGGAGGAGGAGGAGGAGGAGAGAAAAAATATATGTGCAAGCGATTTATAAACTGTTATAATGTACGTTCCAAATGTTGCAATTATGAGATAATGATGAGGAGACATTTGAGGTCTACAATGGGGGGAAAAACAATAATAATAAAATAAGGTATGAAGCTGGCCTGCCTTCTAAGCCACCCGGACATTTCTCTCCATGCTCTGCCATTTTTCTTCCCTGCGATCTTTTTCCCCTGAGGTCCTGAATCTTTGATCTTCTACTTAAAAAAAAAAAATTTAAAGACAGCCAGGGGGTCTTAGAGCCTGTGTGATCCCTTCTGATTTAAACCTTAAATAAAACAAAGACCTCCTGGAGAATACCATCGCCAGCTTGGCTTCTCTGATATTGGGGCAAATTTTCTTTCTGTCAAAGCAAAGAAAAGTGGGGCGGGCGAATGTGTGTAGGGGCCGGGAGAATCCACTGGCACAGACGTATGCGCTCACACACACACACACACACACACCCTTCATCTACTAGCCGAGAATTCTTCCATGTGAAATTTGGGTGGGAAGTGATGACAGTTTTCAGCAGGCCAAAGTCACCTTGGGCCCTGCCACTGGCTCCTGTGGAATGATGGAAAATGTGTCCCTAGAACCAGAGAAAGAAATGATGAGGAAGCTCTTTCCAGAAAGCTACTATCTACCCAAGTCTTTCCCATAAGGGTGCCCCTAGAAGAGGGAGACTGGGGAGCGGTCTTGAAACTTGACCTAGGGCAAGCTAGCAGCTTCATCCCCCTGTCCCAGTATCCTCAGGCCCTGAGGAGCTGGATGCCTCAGAAACAGCAGGACCAGGTGCTTGAGTACATACGGACTAAGGGTCTGATGTCTATTAGCGTCTCATGATGTCTCAGAACCCCTCTGTCCATTTTATTCCTAATAATGAGGCTTGTTAAAAGATGACATCACACTGCAAAGGGTACCTCAAATTTGGATAATTTTACAGGAATCTGAAATTCTAACTCCCATTAGATAAACTGTTAAGTGATGACTTTAAGCTCATTTTTATGTTGATTTTTTAAAAGATTTTATTTATTTGTTTAAGAGAAAGAGACAGAGACCTCATGAGAGAGAGAGAGAGTTAACTAGTGGAGGGGAGGGGTGGAGGGAGAGGGGGAAGCAGGGTCCCCCCGGAGCAGGGAGTCCCAGACGGGCAGGGCTCGATCCCAGGAACCGGGGATCATGACCTGAGCCGAAGGCAGCCGCTTAACCGACTGAGCCACCCAGGCGCCCCTCTGTCTGAAATTAAAACAAAACAAAACAAAACAAAAAGCATTATGCTGAGTGAAAGAAGCCAGTCACAAAAGACCACACACTACATGATTCATTCATATAAAATGTCCAGAACAGGAAGTCTACAGAGACCGAAAAGCACTTTGGTGGCTTGTGAGGACTGGGAAACACAGAGCACAGTGAATGGTAGCTGGAGGCCCAGCATTTCTCTTGGAGGTGATGAAAATTCCCAAAATTGCCCCAAATGATAGCTGCACAGACCCGTGAAGACCCTGGAAAGCACTGAGTTTTTCACCCGAAATGCATATGTCGCCTGTGTCAAGGTTCTATCTGCAGAAATCCGTTTGGACAACACCACGCAGGGCCGTGTCGGGCTGCGCTTGCAGACAGCGGCCGAACCAGGGTTCCGAGTGATCAGAGCACCCGTAGGGTTCAGGTCTGGGGCTCCCCTGTTTGTGAAGGACAGGGAAAATGCTAAGAGGAAGGGCTTCTGGACCTCCAGGCAAACAGATGGAGTAGGTGGTGGTTATTAATCCAGAAAATGGTGACCCACAAATATTTAGAGAGATGTGTCGTTGAAGAAAAGAAAGTCTCATTCTGTATAATTCATGAAGGTCCCATGGGAATCAGTTTGGGAGCAGCATGTGGGAGAGATTCTCAAAGCTAGGGTTATTTATTTATTTATTTATTTGGATTTTATTTATTTATTTGAGAGATAGAGCATGAGGAGGGGCTGAGCAGAGGGAAAGGGAGAGACAGACTCCCTGCTGAGCAGGGAGCCCGATGCCAGGCTCCATCTTAGAACCCCGGGATCATGACCTGAGCCACCGAATCACCCCTTTTAGGGTCCTTTATAGACGTATTTATTTGTATAATTATATATAGGAGGGGCTGCAAGTGAGAACAGAGCTCCCCAACAAGACAGTATCCAAAGCCACTTAGGGACCACCTATCTGGGGTGTTAGGAAGGGACTCCTGGGGCATATGGGTGGCTCAATCAGGTAAGTGTCTGACTGTTGGTTTTGGCTCAGGTCATGATCTCAGGGTCATGGGTTCAAGCCCCAAGTTGGGCTACATGCTCAGTGTCGAATCTGTGTAAGATTCTCTGCCTCTCCCTCTGCCTCTCTTCCCTCACCCCTGCTGCTTGTGTGCACACACTTTCTCTCTCAAATAAATAAATAATAAATAAATAAATAAATAAAATCTTAAAAGAAAAAAAAACAGGAGCAGATAGGTCTTGAAATCTCACCTCCCAGATATATCTGCTACTTCCCTTTTAATTTTTGATATATCTCCCATATTTGCCTTAATAAGAGTTTACAGTTTTCATGAGGAAGAAAATATAATAAACTTGATATATTAAATATTAAAGTTGACCACTGCTGTTACGACATTGTGTGCTCTTAGATAAGTCGACTTTTATCTCCAACATCTTTTGCTAAAAGACAGTAGGTTAGGTGCTAAGAAAACTCAGATTTGGGATCTAGTCTCCATTCTCCACCAACACCTCCATCCCCATAATCGTCATCAACACCACCATCAACACCATCAGGACCACCATCACCGTCAACACCACCATCTCCACCATCTCCACCACCATCACTACCATCGCCACCATCTCCACCACCAACACCATCAACACCACCATCTCCACCACCACTACCATCACCACCATCACCACTATCTCCACCCCCTACCTCCACCCCCCACAACCATCGCCATCTTTACCATTATTAGGAGCAATTACGAAGTGTCTTTGGTCAAGACACTCTAACCTTCCAGATTCTATGCTTGCATCTTAGGCCTGTTTGCCTACCTTTCACCAAACATATCCTTGACCCTGTGAAGAATTTGAATAGCTTTTCCTTATGCCACGCTTACCAGGGTCCCAGCGGACTTATGGGCATTCAACTCTAGGTATCAGCCGCTGAATAGCCACTCAGTTTTACATTCATATTAAAAGTCTCTGTAGGCTCTCACTTGGGAACTTCTCTGTTGTGACTTTTTACTATCAAGTTCTGAGTCTCTAAGACCAGTTTTCTTGGAAGACTGGTCCACACAAATGCATCCAAGAAAGAGTGGGAGAGAAGCCAGCACCACAAGAATGACTTCCTCAGTCCAGTGGTTGTGAGGCCCAGTCTTCTGAGCAAAGTTCCCCCCCAAGAATCTGGGCAGTCTTTGATTTTTCCAGACTCCGTCCTTGACCTGTTGCCTCATAGGAGAGCGTGTTTCTGAGAGACACCATCAAGACATTCCATTGGGCTATGCTACATCCAAATCTCTCGGGCGATGCCTTTGAACCCCGCCGACAAACCACAAACTTAGGAACCGACGTTTGACACAACACTCAGCGGATTCAAAACACCGGGCGCGGGGAGAAGGGGAGGGTGTGGGCGAAGGCTCTTTGATTCGATGTGCTTCTTTCTCTCTGCGCTCTGACAGGGTCTCAGACACTGCCTGGCAACCCCCGGGTTCACGTGCTCGCTTTCTAAAGGGGGTCTCCGGGCAAGATCTCGCCCAGAAGTCTCCAACCAGGCGCAACAGGAGAGCTTGGTTGCTGGTTTGAAAACACCAAGCATTTCACTGGATAAACATTTAAGCAAGAAGAGGAAGGCGCGGAGGAGCAAGGTCTCCTGAGAGAGGGATGGGAAGAAAATCAGAGTATTAGCAGTCACAGCATCTCATGCTCCAAAGAGGCAGGCTTATCTCTGCACAGACCTTCCTTTGCAGGGGATGACGGTCTAACCTCCGTGCCACAGTTTTAATCCCTCCAAACTGGTTTTAGCTTTTGCCAAGATGGATGTCGGGTCCGAATTAAAACCAGAGTCACTTATCATTGCCAAGGCATGTGCTTTTCCTTCCACGATGGAAAGCTGGGGAGATAGGTGCCTCCTGCTCGGAACGTGCCCCTTCCAAAGTTATTAGAACACGGTGGCTTGCTTACAGCCAAAGACAGTCACCCCCAGATGGGCAGAAGCCCCGTGGGGATAAAGGAGGAGACCCTGAAGAAAGAAGACATAGGGCTTGCAGCCAAGGGGGAGAGGAAGGAGCCGGTCTCTGGACGTGTGTGTGTGGTGCGGTTCCATTTGCTAAGAAAAGAGGCTCTTAAAAGGTTGGGTACCCCCGTTTCCCGAATCTCGGCTCGGACTCCTTTATTTGTACCTCCTCCTTAGGCCTAATTTGAGGGAAAAGATGAGATTTCCAGGCACGTTTTCAGTTAAGAAATAAAGCTCGAAAGAAATCCTGACTTTTGCAATGATGCAGATGGACCCTGAGGGCGTTGTGCTGAGGAAAAGAAGGCAGTCGGGAGAAGGCAGACACTGTGTGATCTCAAACCAAACTCACAGATACAGGGAACAGACTTGTGGGGGCCAGAGGAAGGGGTAGGGCTGGACAAAATGGGTGAAGGAGGCCAAAAGGTACAAAACCCAGTTATAAGAAAAATAAGTCCCAGGGGTGCCTGGGTGGCTCAGTGGGTTAAAGCCTCTGCCTTCAGCTCAGGTCCCAGGTTCCTGGGATCAAGCCCCGCATCGGCCTCTCTGCTTGGCAGGGAGCCTGCTTCCTCCTCTCTCTCTGCCTGCTTCTCTGCCTACTTGTGATCTCTGTCTGTCAAATAAATAAATAAAATCTTTAAAAAAAAAAAAAAAGAAAAGAAAAGTAAAAGAAGTCCCAGAGATACAATGTACAGCATCGTGACTACAGTTACCAAGGCTGGATTGTATCTTTGAAAGTTGTTGAGAGAGTACATGAAAACCGTTCTCACGGCAAGAAAAATATTGTAACTATGTGAGCGTGTTTACTAAATGTACTGTGGTGATTGTTTTGCATCATACCCAATGATGGAATCATTATGTTGTACATCTAAAACTAACCCGATGTTATGTGTCACTCATAGCACCATTTAAAAAGTAAATACAGGGCACCCGGGTGGCTCAGTTGGTTAAGCGACTGCCTTCAGCTCAGGTCAAGATCCTGGAGTCCCAGGATGGAGTCCCTCATCAGGCTCTCTGCTAAGCAGAGAGACTGTTTCTCTTTCTGACCCTCCCCCTCTCATTCTCTCTCTCTCAAATAAATAAATAAGATCTTTTTAAAAATAATAAATAAATATATTATACACTGGAAAAAGAAAGAATTTTTTTTTAAAGACTCAGAAAGCCACTGAAAGCCAATGTCTAGTGTCTCCCTCTCCCCTCTCCTCGCTGAGGAGACAAATTCTCTTGAAGCTCCCTCCCTGAATCTACAAAATGGTTGATAGGGAAACAGACTCTGCCCAGAGGGAGCCTGCTCTGGTTGGGGGAAGGGGATGAAGGTTGGTGTGTGTTTCTGTCCTCCTGGGTAGAGCAAGGTGTGTCTTTTGGCAGGACACACAAGACCGGGCTCCTACCAAAGGTGATCAGCAAGCCCATGTTTGGGGGACTTGGAAAAGCCCCCGGTCTCTCTAAGCCACCACCATGCCCCATGCATCTCTCCACTCCTATTAGCCCGGGCATCTGTAGCTGCTTTTGGGGTCTGAGACCAAGAGTATCATCCAAGGGGCTGACTGATAAACGCCGGCTGCTGCTTTCCATTTATTATTAAGAACTACGGACTGCACCAGGGATAGGGTCTAGGATAGGTGGCTGCCTATTAGACTGTCCATGTGGCTGCATTTCTTCAACATGCAGGAAATAAAAGCCAATCGTATCTCCTCCCAGGCCAGCTGAAGCAGAGAGAGGAAGCAGATGAGTGGCAAGGCACTTAGGGATGAATCCGATTTCTCAAAAGTGGAAAAATAATTACATACATTAAAACACAGACGCCAAGACCCCATGATTATTTTGAGATGTCTGACTTTTTCCCCTTACGCCCACTGACCTTCTCCCATGGTTAAAACTACCAGCTGTTTTACAGAACCTTAAAGTTCTCAGAGTGGGGGGGATGGAGGACCCTTCCCAGCAGCAATGCTCCAAGCTCAGGGCCCTGAGCCTTTGTATTTCTGGGAGAGAAGACCCAGCAGCACGGAAGCCTACCCTCATCCCTACAGCGCGGACACCGGCCGGAAATGTGTGTTGTTAGTGCCCTCTAGTGGCCAAAGCGTGGCTGAACGTAAAAAGAGATTTTTCACCCTGAGCTGGGCGTTGAGTGCTTTTGAAAAGCTATTTTGCAACTTGTCTGTTGCCTTGCTGCTGGATTGGGAACAGCTTTTGATTCCAGGAAGCTGGTTCTTTCTTTGTTACCCTGTCTTGAACCCTTGTGAGTTTGAAACTGGCTAACTGTAATTATTCTCAAGAAAACGTCCAGCCTCCCGAGTGAGCCTTCCTTCGCTTGCGTGATTTCTTCTTGACTGCCTGCCTAGTCCCCCAGCTCGGCATCGTCATATTTCTAAATGTCTTTTGTCGCCCAGTGTCTTGAGCCAAAATCATTTTTCTTCTTTGTATTAATCGCCTTGCAAAGGTGTTCAAAATCAAGCAATTCCTTTTGACCTGGAAATCCCACTTCTAAAATTTTTGCTAAGTAATCACCATGGATCCAAGCAAGACTGGGGATAAGCTACTTGTCAAAGGATTCTTCATAATAAAGAGGAAAAAAGCCCTTGCAAACTCCCTGAGTGCCCAGCAATGTAAAATTTGATTAATTATAGTTCAACTGATGAAGTGAGATGTTGTAATTAAGAATGACAGGTTCTCAATGATGCTGGAGAAGATCCATTTGGCTAACTGATGGGGACACTGAGGTCCAGAGGAGGTGACTTTCCTGGTGTCACACACAAAACCTGGGTGATGTTCCCTTTGTGATAAGCCATTGAACTCTACTTTTTCTGAATGTATGTATATTGTATAATTTTTAAAAAGTGATCAGAAAACAATAGCTATCTTAATCCCTAATTTAACATACTTTTTTTCTGATGCTATTCGGCCCTTAGGAAGAAAGAAAGATGTGCCAAAGAGGGAAAAGTAGAATTGTGGCCTCTGGTAACTAGTTTCTAAATTGCGTTTAGAACTTTGCTTCGAATGAGCCAGATTTTCCTGCAAATGGCTCTGTGGTGAATTGGAGGACGATGGAAAATGCCACTCAGACGAAGCTCACAACTTATTTGAGGCGTGAAAAAAACAATGTCCTTAACATTCTTGGCTCCCCAGAGATTGGAGATGATCCGCGGATCTCACGAATTCATATTTCCTTATTGCCATAACAACCGTGAACCCCCCAGATCGGTTGCTGTTATGTCAAAAGCCCACAGAGTGGAGGGAAACAATTTGCCCTGAATGTCCCAGGTAACTTACAGCTCTGCTCTATATTTCCTTGTCAGAAGCAGAGAAGTGATGAGTGATTTTTTTAAAGATTTTATTTATTTGACAGACAGAGATCACAAGGAGGCAGAGAGGCAGGCAGAGAGAGAGGGGGAAGCATGCTCCCTGCTGAGGAGAGAGCTAGATGTGGGGCTCGATCCCAGGACTCTGAGATCATGACCTGAGCCAAAGGCAGAGGTTTTAACCCACTGAGCCACCCAGGTGCCCCTCAATGAGTGATTTTTGAGTTACATGTAATAAGGATTTATTTTTTTTGAAGATTTTATTTGTTTATTAGAGAGAGAGAGAAAGAGAGAATGAGCAGGCAGAAGGGGGCAGAGGGAGAGGGAGACGCAGGCTCCCCGCTGAGCAGGGAGCCCCACTTGGGCTTCATCCCAGGACCCTGGAATCATGACCTGAGCTGAAGGCAGATGCTTAACCGACTGAGCCACCCAGGAGCCCCAATGAGGACTTATTTCGTGTCTGTCATCCTGACACAAGGGTGAGACACAACTCTGGCCTGGACCTCAAGATGCCCTCTGTCCGGCCAGGAGGAAGGTTTACATCCATGAAAAAAAAGAGAGACCCTATAAGGCAAGCAAATGCTGAGCCCCCAGTGTATGTGTTGTAGGGCTTCTGGAACAAAATCAAGTTAAGAAACTGAGTCAGACTAATAAGGATGTGTGTCTGGAAGGACAAGTGACTCTAGCTCAGTGCCCCTATTTATATAAGGGGTGGGGGTGGAATTTCAGTGCATGCTGCTGTAAGGATGAAATAAAATGCACATTGCTAGAATATTAAATGCTCAACTTGTCAGTCAAACACTAATTATTATAATTATTATTAGCAAATATCCCTGATCCTGGGCACCTGGAGGGCCCGAGTGGAAACGTTCCATCTTTGCATCAGGCCCGTGTGGAGGTTCTAACTTTAGCAAACAATTTCTCAAGCTGAGAAATAACCACGATGCCTGAGAAAGCACCATTACTATATTTTTTGCCAGTTTCTCTCAGTAGATGGTGCCCTTGAGACCCTCATCCTCTGGGATTTTTTTTTTTTTTTTTTTTTTTTTTAAATCCCAGGGGGAAAAGAACCAGGTTTTGTGTCAGGCACAAGTGCAGAGGACAAGGTTAATCGATCTGGCCAAGTCCTTAAAGCCTTATTTTCCAAACGTTGTCACCACACCATATATTGCTTAAGAAATGTGGCCATAAATAAATGAATCAGAGGCAGAGAGCCCTGTTTTGGCAAATGACCGTTGGGCCCCTCTGGGGATCCCAGGGCAACTGAGTCGGCGGCCGCCTTCCGCACTTCCCTCTGGAGGGTCGTGTGACCTTGAGAAAGACACACAGGCTTTGAATCCCAGCTCTGACTCGAGCTCATTGTGTGACCTCGGCTGGTTACTAGCCCATGTTGTCTACTTCCTTCTCTGCAAAAGGGGGAGATTGCCCGAGTGAGGCTCGGACCCTGAGATGGCAAATATTAAAGCTAATGTCTGTTAAATACTTCTGCTGTTCTAAGCAGAAGTAACTGGGCTCCCCCATTTAATCTTACACAACCTACGAGGTAGCTATCATCAGTGCTCCCAGTTCATAGATGTGGAGACTGAGACACTGTGCCATCAAGCTACCTGCCCAGGGTCACACCTCTAAGCAAGCAACAGAGCCAACCTTTGACCCAGGCAGTGTGGCCCCACAGTGCACGCCCCTAGCTACTGTACTGTCCCACCTCCCCGTCTGTGAGATCCCGCCATTCACGGCTCTATCCCCAGGCTAGATGGAGTGGATCAACAAGAAGGTTAAATAAACTTAACTCAAGTCCATCACATGAGACTGACCATGAGAATATTAAGTTTTCATCTCCATGGCAGGATCTTAAAGAATGTTGGGGCTGGCTGAGTCATTAAGAATCACTTAATTTAGCTATCTCCCTAATTTTCAAATGGGGAACTTGACACCCTGTAGGTGCTTGAAAACACAGTTATAAGTTATTTAAGACTTCTCTTGCACAGAAATGGGGTGTATAGTCCCCTTGAATCTGGGCTGACTTTAGGGATTTGCTTAAAACCAATAGAATTTGGTGAGAATGAGGCAGTGTGGTCTTTCGAGTCTGGGTTAGAAGTTGAAGCATCTCCCACCTTATTTGTTGTCATATTCTTACCTGGATTCTGAACCTCCATAAAAGCTCAATTTCCCTGACACTTTCATGCTGGTCAAATGACGTGCAGACACACTGATTGCATCCGGGCAGTGACACTGGCCACCCCTGCAAGAGAGCCATTTTGGGTGCCCAAGCCCGTCTTGCTGCCATGTGCCTATAGCTTCAACCACTGTCTGTTTGCAACCACGTAAGAGACCCCAAGCAAGAACTGCCCAAGGGAGCCCTTCTGGAATTCCTGACCCACAAGATTGAGAGCAAAATAAAATATTGTTTTAAGCCACTAAGCATTGCTACTTTGTCACCCACACACACACTGGTAGGAACTAGAACATACCCAGAGAGGGAAGCAACTGGCCAAGACAGCCATGGGCAGTGGCAAGTCCAGAGCTCAAATCCAGCTTTCCTGTCCCTACCCTGAGACCATCCCCCGCCCCCGCCTATTTCTCAAGCTCTCTGGGGAGGCTTTCCCAGGGACTAGTCTCGCCAGCATGGGAGGTGTCACACTTTCTAACAAACCCGTGTGCCCAATGCCAGGAAACATGGAAGAAGAGTCACATGCCAGGGAGAAGAGACAAGTCTCCCAGTACATTCTTTAAGACCAAGCCTGTACGTGGCTAAATAAAGGATGTTTTTAACATCCTGGTCTCAGCCGTGGGCGTACCATCTCTACCATCTTTCAAAACTATGGCCCAGCTCTGCCCATCTTCCGGTCATTTACCCATTTCCGTCCATTCCTTAAAATATGATGAAATGTTGCTACATGAAAAAGCATATCTATAATATAATAGAAATCACTGAGAGCACGATAACAAAATGACCACCTGTGAACTGACCATCCGGCTTAATAGAATGTTAGTATTGTTGAAGAGGGAACCTTGTTTATAACCACATAGCTTCTGTGTCCTCTCCAAGTCCCACAGGTCGGCAGAACCCTTCCTACGCCACAATACAGAAGGAGTTAGACAGATGGGGACACCCCAGCTGCCACGTACTGACCTCAGGAGCTGGGGTGAGTCGCTTAGCCTCTCTAGGTCTGTGAGATGCAGAAACTTCTACCCCAAGATGAATTTATGCAATGAAACAGACCAACATGTCAAAGAACTTCTGAAAATACGAGAGCACTTTGCTTTTACAATCTCCTGTACACCCGAAGACAAGGATGATAGCTATAAGCGTGTTTTAAAATGCAATTTCCTTATGTGTCCACACATATATATATAATTTTATATAAATGTATAGACATACATGTTCTGTGTGTGTGTGTGTGTGTGTGTGTGAGTGTGTGTGTGCATGTCTTGTTTTCTTTTCCTTTCTCACCGGGAAATCTGACAGACCTGTGTCCCACATCATTACCGAGTGATCTTGAACAAGTTACTCAACTTGAGCCTTATTTTCTCACCTGTATGATGGGGATGAAGCTGCCCATTTGAAATCATGCATTGAAATCCACCTTGATAATGGCCTCGCTAGTAACTTAATAAGGGGATTAGATAAGGTAATACATGCAGTTTGCTAAGCAAGGTGTCTGGTGTGTAGTAAGAGTTCACTAAATGGTTCTTGTAAAAAAGAGTGCTACTACCAATAAGATAGACAATATTTTGGTCAGTGACTATTGATCAGGTGTGTTGTGAATGTTTTACCTCTGTTGACTCACTTAACATTCCCAATAACTCTGTGAGATGGGTCGGATGAGTACCTCCATTTAACAGGTTAGGAAACAGGCTCAGAGAGGTTAAGATACCTACTTCGGGTCACACAGCCAAGAAGAGGCAGCGGTGATGCGAAGTTCCTAGGCCAGTGTCTGGCACCTCGGTGCTCATTCACAGCCAGCCCCCTTCCCCTTTGATGAATTTGTTCAAACTTCCGGGGCCCCTGCATGCCTGGAGGTGGGCTTTGGGTTTGCCTTTGAATGCCAGCTCCTAGCCGGGTGGCTTTTGGCGAGTTACCCCACCTCTCTGTGTCTGAAAAATGCCCAGTACAGGGAGCCTGGGTGGCTCAGTGGGTTATGCCTCTGCCTTATGCTCAGGTCATGGTCTCAGGGTCCTGGGATCAGCCCCGCATCAAGCTTTCTGCTCAGCAGGGAGCCTGCTTCCCCCTCTCTCTCTGCCTGCCTCTCTGTCTACTTGTGATCTCTCTCTGTGTCAGATAAATAAATAAAATTTAAAAAAAAATGCCCAGTATACTACTGCCTCCTCCCCCCACCGCCCTTCCCCCAGGAGTGGTAAAGAGTCGTGGATGAGTGGGACTCACTCAGCACAGTGTCTGGCATCGGAAGTTCTCAAACCTGTAAATGATAATGGGGTCAAAGACAATAATGATGGTGGTGGTGGTGATACCCTTATGCCTCTTGGCTTCCAGGCAGGTGGACATGTTTCTACGCCAGCCGTCAGGCTGTTCCAGTAGCTTGTTCCAGAAACTAAAGTTCTTTGAAGCAAAACCATTTATTTCAGTTCCACTTTTGCCCACAGAGTCTGAAGACGCTCATGGTCAGCCTTCACATGGCCTGTTTCGTCTGTCCTGAGAAGCTGGGCGGTTCCCGGGCCGGAAGGGCTAGAGATGGGGGTGAGAACTGTGAGGATAGAAACACACACACACACACACACACACACACACACACACACACACACACAGGCCTACACATGCGCACGTGTGTCCACATGCGTGCCGTGCTGTCAGCGTTCTCTGGAGTACGGTCTGCTTAAAAGATGTCTCACTCACAGGCACCTGTGTGGCTCAGTTGGTTGGGCGACTGCCTTCGGCTCAGGTCATTATCCTGGAGTCCCAGGATCGAGTCCCACATCGAGTTCTCTGCTCGGCGGGGAGTCTGCTTCTCCCGCTGACCTCTCTCCTCTCGTGCTTTCTCTTCCTCTAATAAGGAAATAAATAAAACCTTAAAAAAAAAAAAGATGTTTCACCGAGGCTGTGAATCAACCAATCTCCAGTTGGAAAGTACTGGAAAGATAAATACCTCTCCCTGGGCAGGGGCGGGGGAGGGTAGATAAAAATAAAAAGCATTTAAAACAAACAAAAAAAAGATATTTTACTTCTTAGATCAATGGTTTTTTCATTTAATATACCTCATTAGAAGGTTAGAAAGACATCAACATTGGAGTGTTTTTCTTGCCTTTGAAAAATATATCCTTATGTTTATTTTCCGTTTAAAAATTAATATGTGCTCATTGTGATGAGTTAAAACATACAGAAATGCATTATGGAGAAAAAAGCATAAGAATTTTAAAATCCCCTATCTTCTCCTACCCACTGCCCCCAAACCACTGCAGCTGGCATTTTGTGGAATGTTCTAGAAGAGAGGTGAGACAGTCGTAGACAGAGGGTGGGTGAGGATTTAGACAAGATAAACACTGAGGGGATAGAATGTTGAGACAGAGTATTAAGTACTCTTCTGTACAATCTAAATAAAGATGGAAGAGAAAGAATATTACAGTTACACTGGAGAAAAAAGACTGAGAGCCCGATGCGGGGCTCAATCCCAGGACCCTGAGATCCCACCCCCACATCAGGGTCCCTGCTCAGCAGGGCATCTGCTTCTCCGCCTCCCACTCTCCCTGCTTGTGTTCCCTCTCTCGTTGTCTCTCTGTTAAATGAATAAATTAAATCTTTTTTCTAAAATGTCCATCTTTAGCATAAAGGGTTCGATGATCCTTTTGATAAACTTTCTATTTTGGAGTAATTTGAAAAACGCAGAAGAGTTGCCAAGTCAGGGTAGCATTCTGGTATACCGTTTACCTGGCTTGTCCTCATAGTAGCCCCGTACATCACCGTGGGACATTTGTTGAAAGTGAGGAACGG